CCTTTTTGAAATAAGAAGCTTTTTCATTTCATTTGAAATACATTAATCTCAGTTCTGTACATGATATATCATGAAATATGAGACTGCATGGAAGATGGGAGAATTTCATGTCCTTTAAAATATATACATCTGCTCTGTACATGACAGAAGTATCTATCCTGTGAATTAAGTACAGTAATTACATGAAGGATGATATAATAATAATAATAATAATAATAATAATAATAATAATAATAATAATAATAATTGCTTACACTTAAATAGCACTTTCCTGGAGACTCCACTCAAAGCGTTTTGCAGGTAATGGGGAATCCCACTACCGCCACCAATGTGCAGCCCCCACCTGGATGATATCAATTGATGTCATTTCAAAATATATAAATCTCAGCTGGGCACAGGACAGGAAATCTTAGGGGCTAATGCAGGTCACTGTGTGCAGATACATTCAACATTGTTTTGTAAAATGGTCCTGGTGACATCACAGCATTGCTTCTGGTCCTCAGTTTGGGGCGGGGGGCGTGGCCTTTTCACCGGAACTCGCACTCGGCCCCGCCCACTCCCACGCTGCTACACCCTGTGACTGAAAAAAAGTCCTTTCCAGCAGCACTGGCTGAGCAAGACTGCTATCAGACCGCAGGGTCAGCTTGAGTCTGTGAGCTGAAAGTGGAGAAAGAGCCAACTCTGGGTGGTGTATTTTTTTTTTAAAACGTCATGATTATAAACTATAAGTGACTGTCCCTTCCCCAGTCCAGAGGCAGGAAGTGCTTCAACTAAAGAGATTCGGTTCCTTCAAGATCCTAGAATGGATCCAGTTGCTCTTCTCTGGACCCGTGAAGTTGTGTAGTGATTTTGTGCCATTCAGTGTCATTTATTTATTTTTCACCTAAGTGAAGTTGGGTAGTTTTTAATACACCAATCATTGCTATAGATTTCATTTTCCTGTCGTGAAGTTGTGTGGGTTTTATGTACCAATCAGTGCCACAAATTTATTTTCCTGTTGTGAAGTTGTGTAGTGCTTATGTGCCGGTGAGTGGGAATAATTTATTTTTCCTGTTGTGAAGTTGTGTAGTTTTTGTATACCAAATCAAAAATCCATGAACAGGGAATAAGAAACTCCTACTGTTGTACATGTTTAACTTTTTTGTTTGGGATAGGAGGGCTAGAAAATTTCTCTCGATTTGCTTAAGTGGCTGTTGAACAGTCCAAAAAAAAGGTGTTTTTTTACAGGGGATTATCGTCAGTGGCTCGCTAGACAGATATTTCTGAACTGCGGCGCAGTATTTCTGCTTCTCAAAACACAGGTTCGAGGGCCCCCTCAAGCAGACACTAAAAATATCGTCTTTTTTGAAGGCAGGTGGGTTGTAACTCTGTGAAACACTCACGCAGTTCAACCGCAAAACA